CCCCCCCCCCCTGCAATCTATTTTGGGCCTAGCAGGCATCCCTAAAGTCTGCTGGGAGCCAAAATGGGGCTGTGATTATCCTAGAAGGGACAGGGGAAGGGAAGTTGTGAGCCTGTGGGGATCCCGGGAGTGGTGCAGCAAGCTCCCGGGGGGGGGGTAGAGAGACTTACCTGTAGGCAGGAGGAGGCGGCAGCTCAGTTTGGGAGGCACCATGTGGCAGCTTAGGCAGGGAAGCCACCCAGGCGGTGAGGAGTGAATGGGTAGGGTGGGTGGCGGGGCATTTGCATTTAAAACGGTCTGCACATGCGCACAACATAAAAAAGAGAAAAACTACATTTTTCCATGAAGATTATTCTGCGCATGTGCAGAACAGAAAACCAAGATGGCACCGCTGCCGAGGATACAAACCAGTATGGTCACATGTCTGCTGGAGTTACTACCTATTCGCCTGTACCGGACCGAATAGGTAGGAACCCACCTCTGATGCCACAAACTGCTCACTTACCTTTGAAGAGCTCCAAAGCCTTCAACAGCATAGGAATGGGTTATTTTGTCCTTTGGCAGCATGGCACATTTCTGGAATCGGCCATGCAGCTGAAGGAATAACCGTTTGAGTAACAGCCTTAATGTAGTCCACTTGTAGTAGTCCAAATGCCAGCCACTTCCACAAGGCTGCCACACAAATAAGGGACAAAATACTCTGTTTTGTTTCCCTAATGTGATCTCCATAATTACTTAAGCTATTTAAAACCCTTTATCTAAGTTAGGTGGCCACATAATCACATTTTGGTTACTTGGCTTCTGGCTCATCTTTCTGGCCATTGCAATATTCCACAGTAACATGATTGTACTGTAATATGCAATGTTTTTGCTAGTTTTTAGTATTTACTTCTAGTTTCTGGCCAAAAAAAAAATCCATTGGGGAAAATGGATTTAGTTAATGACTGCAACATTTGCTTAATGACCATGATGTTTGCTTTGCAACTGCTGCAAAAAATGTTGAAAAATTAGGTCAATTCATGAAATGTCTCAACTTATGACTGAAATGACTTGCAACTATAATTTCAAGCTCAGTTAATGTTGCATCAAGGTCTACCAATTTTACATAAAGAACCAGAAAATCCTCTATAAAACTTCTTCCATAATAAATCAAAATAATAAAATTTTAAAATGTTACGCCATACTTCTGATTGAGACAGAGTTAGGCCCTTCGTGCAAGGAAAGAATATATTACATCTGTATTAGCAATAGTGCTTTGTCAGATGAGAAACAAAAAGTCAATTTACAGTTGATAAAATCAATTTATAATTCGCAAAGCACATATTATATCTGAAGTATACAGTAGTAACATATGCTGTCTGGTACATAGACATGTACCAGAATATATGTTTCAGTTCAGTTTACATCCCTGTTTAAATATGACAGCCATTTGGGCAACTTTGGGTGAACCATTCTCTCTCAGCCCAACTCATCTCACAGGTTTGTTGTTGTGGATAAAATAAGAAGAGGAAGGAGTACTAGGTATGTGTGTTGACTTGAAGTATTTATAAAAACAATAAAGTGGGAAGTAAGTACCTAAGTAAATAATAAAAAAATAAAGTTGGAAACTCAAACATCTTATGTTACTATCTGCTTAAATCTGAATCCTTTAAATCTGTTATGAAACAGACAAGGAAATATATATATCAGCAAATAAAGCCAAGCTGGTTTCATTTGATGCAGGAACAAGCAAATATTCTGTATAAGAACCAGGTTATGCATACGTAACTATTCTTACCTCTTCCCTGATATGCTCTACTTGTTCTTCAAGAAGTTCATTTCTCTCACTAAGAGTTTTATTCTTCTTCAGCAATGACTGGCCAATTCGAGCAGCTAATTCTAAATCCCGTTCTTTCTGTGGAAGGAAGGAAGGAAGGAAGGAAGGAAGGAAGGAAGGAAGGAAGGAAGGAA